AAAACATGAACTTAACATGAAATCTGCTACAGAATTTAGGAATACATATATTGATTCCATAAATCCTTCAGTCACATAATATTTTCTAGGAAAATCCTTGGCTTAAATAAATAAATTGTATTATTTAAAGTCTGGAATTTTCTCAGTCATTACATCCCTTTCTTCATCTGCGGCAGTTACGTTCTCATCGTCGTGACGGGCTACAGATTTTGCAAATACTTGGAGGTAAAGTATAAGTGGGTTAAAAGGCACTGGAGCTTTCTGAACGCTCTTTCAAGAGATATCCAGAAAGTGAAAGACTCAGTTAAAGAAACAAAAAAAAGAGCAAGTGAATTTGGTGAATCAGAGCTGAACCTGGAGGGAATAACTCAACCGTTGCAAGAAATCGAGACGCAGTGGGTGAGCAAAGCAGGGAACGTGATTTGGGAAGCCGAGAGATGTATTCAATATTTTGAGAATTTAACTGCCATGAGAACATTTCTCAACAGCTATCTTTTTGTCATCTTGAATCTGATTTCCATAGTTGACCTTACACTTGGCATGAGGCGAACCACGGAAGAGATAAACAAGCATTTTAAGGAGCAGAAAGAATTAACCAACAAGTTGTGCGGATTACTGGAGGAGTCGAGGAATAGACTTAGAGGATTGCAGGACACTATTGGCAAGATCGAGAGCGAATCACTCGGTTCCAAGGTGCCTTTTAGCCCCACACTGGCTTTGGCTCTAGAGCGGCTCATCAGCACTCAGCACCAAAACTTGATACGTGGGGAATTGGCGGAGCAATTGCGCTCGACAGTTATACAAGGCAGGGTTCTACAGGCTTTTGTGAAAGATTTGCGGTGGTTCAAACTGGAAAGCGAGATAGAGAATGCCTGGATGAAGGAAGCAGAAGATGTCATTAAGGAAGCAGATGAAGAAATCAACGGCAGTTCGGAGCGGGAAGCGATGATAGTAAGGTGGCCTGTTGCTTTTGGTCTCCGTAATTGGATGGCAAAGCGTAAGCTCAAGAAAAGCGTAAACTATTTTGGTAGTAGGTACTCCGATCTTCTGGAAGCAAAAGACAGATATGGTCTTAGATTTATCAGAAGAGTCTCGTCGAAACATGTCCGGCGACGTTTCCAGCGCATGGATGATGAAGTGATTTCGATAGTTCTAGACAACATCCGAAAGCAGGTTCCAACACGTAGTGCAGAATACTCTCAAGAACCGCATCGTCGCATCGGGTCGTTGTGCAAACAGATGGAGAATATCCTACAACTTTTGAAAGATGAGAATGAAACTGAAGGCGCAAGGCATGCTAGAATGGCTTGCTTCCATCTACTAAGGAAAACAGCCACCGAAGCACAGGAATGCATCAAGAACTACATGGAAGCATCACCACCAAAGTTAGTATTTGAAATTAACAGAATCCATAACGCTGTCGGTCTCCTTCATAAAACGGTACAAGTGTGCACCATCCAGGTCATCGAAGATTCCTGCTCTGTTGTTGGTCTGGAGGAAGACGTGCATAAATTTGTTTCAAAGCTCACTACCAGTACTAACGACGGAAGTGGTGGACATCCATCCGTTATCTCCATTGTGGGGACCAAAGGGATTGGTAAGACAACTCTGGCTAAGGAAATCTGTAATCATAGATCCATTCTCAACCACTTTAAAGTCTGTTGTTTTATTTCGTTACCACATGGAGATCAGTACTCCAATGAAACTCTACTTCTCAAAAACATTAGAGACCAGATCATGCAGACACGGGACAAAGGGCGTGAGAAAGAATATTTGATCGATGAAATATGCGGTTTCTTAAAGAAGCAGGCCTGCCTTGTGGTTCTGGACGATCTTCGGACAAAGCAAGCTTGGAATGTACTAAAGCAAGCATTCCCAGATGACAGCAAGAGTGTTGTTATTATCACAACACGCAGCATAGCAGTAGCTTCACATGCTAACGCAAGCGGCAACACCAGCAACATCCATCGACTTAGGCTACAAACTGGAGAAGAAAGCTGGGAGTTTCTCACCCAGATGGTCCCTTTCCCTTTTAACAGTAAAGGGAAAATTAGATCACTTGCAAAGAAAGTGGTAGCAAGTACCGGAGGCCTGCCACTTGCCATTCTACGTCTTGGATATCTATTGTCTGGGAAGTGTCTCAATGAAGCCGAGTTGTCAAGGGTGCTTGAGCGCGAGCATGGCTCTCACGTACTGTGGGCTGAGACCTGGGACATCAACAAAGAGCGCTTTCAATCCTATCCAATTCTTGATAGATGTTTTTCTTACTCTGAATTCTTCCCTAGAGACTTTGAAATTCCCTCGAGGAGATTAATTGCTCTATGGGTTGCTTCAGGGTTGTTTGAAGCAGAAGAAATTGCAAATGATCAATCGAAACAAGTACATAGTAGTGGAGATGCTCTGGAAGAAAAAACTCGGGAAAATGCTGCTTACAAGTGTCTTCTGGAGTTGGTTGATCGTAATATGATCCAAGTAGTTGCGAGAAAGCGTAATGGGAATGTCAAGACGTGTCGCTTTCCAAGCACTCTAGTAGAAATTTGGTTCCGCGAGACAAGAAAGAACACGATTACAGCTCGTTCGTGGTCCCTATTTTCGAGTTCTGATGGGCAGCTTGCTTATCGTTTTGACGACAAGGATGCAAACTCTGGTCGTAGTGTTCATGGTCTCAACTCAGATATTGTTTTTCCGGAGGAAAAATATCCCAAATCCATTATGTTCTTTGATACGCGAGAAGGAAATGAGCCCGGTGAAGACATAGGCAAGTTTCTCCTCAACGGCATTTCCAGTCGGCGCTTTGAAGATTTATGGGTTCTTGATCTTGAAGGCGTGTTCAGACCTCAATTGCCAAGCAGCATAGGGAAATTAAAGAAGCTCACATATTTAGGCCTAAGGTGGACTTACCTAGAAAATCTTCCAGAATTCATAGGTAGCTTGTTGCAACTCGAAACCCTGGATTTAAAGCATACATATGTGAGGGAGCTCCCTAATTCCTCTTGGAAACTGAAGAAACTGAAGAACCTCTACTTGAACCAGAGCTGCCGAATCAAAATCATGCATCATCGAAGCGCCATTTCCACAAAAAATCTGAAGACGTTGTGCGGCGTGTTTGTGGATCATGAGCACAGTGATTTGGCCATCAATCTAGGCAAGTTTCAGAGCCTCCAAAAGTTGGGGATAACAATATTCCAGTTGCCGGTAGAGCAGCAAAAGAACTTGGTAAAAGGGATCGTGGAACTGGCCGACCTAAGATCTTTGACTTTGAGGTCAATTGACGAGAAGGGCGAGTCTCAGGATCTCAAGTTGAAGTCTTTTAAGAAACTTCAGAAGCTCACCAGCCTATATTTGTTGGGAAAGCTAGAAAAGCCTGCCATCATAAGCACCCTCCCAGAAAGCCTCGTTGAACTTACCTTATCTGCTTCTGGACTTAAAGAAGACCCCATGTCAAAGCTAGGGAAGCTTCCAAAGCTTAAATTTCTGTCTTTCCTCTCCGGTTCTTATCAGGGAGCAATCATGGTTTGCTCCAAAGAGGACTTTCCTCAACTCCTGGTTCTGCATATTTGGAATCTGTCTGATTTGGAGAAACTCGTTGTGGAGGTTGGAGCCATGCCAAAGCTGAGGGAGTTTGAGGTCAGATCATGCAAAAAATTAACATTCACTACTGGGTTAACCAACTTAAAGGTCCTCCAGGTGTTAACCTTGAAAGACGTGCCTGACGAAAACGCCATCGAGAATGAGTTCGCTGCAGCGAAGGAGAATTCTCCGGACGCAATCGTGTGCTGTCCTAAAATCAACAGAAACAAAGAGGAAGCTGGTGCAATGCAAGGTTTAAGTCATGATCCCATCACAGGCTAATTAGGTATATATAAGTCTTTACTGTTGTTCTTTTTCATTTCTTTCTCTTGCTCCTCCTTGGTCTTTGAATTTACTACTTTCCTCCAACTGAAAAGTACTATTTCATTCTCATTTGATCAGTTGTACTCATTTGGCGCGATGCATCGACAAATCGTAGCGAGGCATTTGGACCGAAAACGATGCAAGTGCTTGTTGGCAACTATAGCGAGGCATTTGGATTCTTCTTCTCGGATTTTTATCTATCTTTGTTGTGTTCCACTTGTTATGATCGTATTATTTGTCATTTTCTCGTGTTCAAGATTGAACAGAATAAATGGAAACACTCGGGTGGTTTCCGCTTTTCCATGATTAAATTTCATGCCTTAAATAAATGTTAGCTGTAGTTTGTTTGTTCTTTTTTCTGTTTTTCTGTTTTTCTGTTTTTTTTGTTTTTTTTGTTTTTTTGTTTTTGCAAGACAATCAGCTCTTGATTTATTTAGAAACCAGATGGATTTAAATTTCAGTGTCCTTTGTCTCATTCAATTCAATCCAAATGACCAGAGCATTATGGTTTAACAATGAAGTCTTCTGCATGTAGCGTTCAAATTTGGTGGTTTTATTTTTTAATAAAGTGATAGTCCCCCATACCATATCTAAGAAAAAAAAAAAAAAAAAACAGAAATTGTACTAAATAGTAAATTTTTGAAATTAAATTAAGTAAATAGCCTATTTTAAAACTATTTGAAATAAATAGCAATTTATTATGTAATAACGCCCGGTAAAATTAAAGTGAGGTATTATGCTTAATTATGTGCAATTGAGATTATTAGTGTGCCAAATTAAATATTTGAAGATAAATGTTGATATTTTTTAGACATGAGATTAATTTTAGGACATTTTGATTATTTTTGAAAATTTTCATTTTACCATACACCTTTTGAATTACATTTTTACCCCTAACTTTGAGAAATTTTACAATTGGGCCCTTTGTTATTTCTGCCCCAAAATCACGTGACTTCGGCAAGGAACATTTTGGAATGTTCATTTAGACGTCCAATGCACCACTTGACCAAATTTCATCTCATTAAATTTCCTTTGCATATATAATTGTGGAAAACAAGATTAACTTGTAACTTTCCTTGCTTTTTTTCTCTATCTCGTTCTTTTTCTTTCCTTTCTTTTACTGTGATGCTACAACCAGAGAAAACGGCCATACCCCATCCCAAATGAATTAAAGAAATAAAATTCAAAAGCTTTGAAACTTGGCCGGAGGTTAATTTATATTCAAGACTCCATTAGGGCTTTGAAAAAGCTTGAAGATTAAGCTTACTCAAAACTAGCAATGCAAAGGTCTGGTTCTTTCATTGAATCTTGAGTTTTTTTTTTCTTTTTTTTTTTTAACTCTCCTATATTTGAATTCCTTTTATGATTTTCTCCTATTATTATTTTCGGATTTATAGTGAAATTTGTTGTAGTTGTTCAAATTTAAAGCTTTGAGTTCCGATTCAAATCCGTAATTTTGTGAATGAAATCAAATGAGGGTTTTGAGAATTCATATTTGAGCTCTAGTTGGAGCAAAGATTCAGCTTTGGTGTTTTTATGTTGAAAACCTTTTAGTATTGTTTGGGTCTTTACTTTATTTGAATAAGTACTATTATTGAGATATTTCTACATGTCTCTGTGCTATTTGAACTACGTTTTTGATATTTTTACTACCAAAACTAGATTTATGTTTATTTGAAAAAGAGTGTTTTGAATTTGTGAATCATCCTTTAAGACAAATTCAAATTAATTCAAGGCACACTAATAGCTTCATGATTTGCGCATTTGTGTCTAGATTTAAGTAATTGTTGATTTGAACGAGGAACTGAGATGCTAAGGTGACGTTTCATATGGGGTAATCTTAAGAGTGAGAATGAGAATCTGAAAGATTTCTATGTTTGGTACAATTATTGAACTTTTTTAAAACTCAAGAAAGTGAAGTCCATGGGATTTACATTATCACATTTTGGGGTAATCTTAAACCCACCTAATAGGGTATTATTCACTTTCCTAGGAAAGTTATATCATGGGAATCAAAATCTCTCTCACCCATTTCTTCCCAGCCCATCAAAATCTCGTCGAGTTCCTTGCAGCAAATCAATCTCAAACTGGAGCTAACAAACTCGTCCTCGACCAATCCAAGCTTCTTCGCCTGAAAATTTCCAGAAGAAGAAGGAGGAGGAGGGAAGGAATCGGCAAATTCTCCATCAAAATTTCAACAACTGTGCAAATTCTCCATCAAAAGGTGGACTCGGTAAGTAGATGCAAGGGAGAAATTGGAAATAAAAGGTGGACTCGGTAAACATTTTATGCCTACGAGGTAGGATTTCATATCCTTTTCTTTAATTGCTTGTTTTTACCGTTTTGGCCAGAAATTAGTTTCTTCAAAGTTTTTAAGAACATGTGTTGAATAAAATGATTACGTGATTGGAAAATGGTTTCTCATAAGTGCTTTGAGAACTTGAAATCATATGATAATGGTACGGTGTAGAGAGAAGCGTGATGTACCATTATTTGAGAAAGTTTATGCTGGTTGTGTTAAATATTGATAAAACCATGGTTTAGGTAACCATGGTGAATTATTTTGATATCGTACATATTTTCGAATAGTTTTCAATGTTAATTGAAATGTTTTGAATTTGAAATTATATACCTGCAGGCTTGAACTCTTTGGCCACGTCGGCCTAATATGATTGGGATATAGAGATTGCATTCTTAGGATGAGAACCTAGAACCCGATTGGGACCACTCATATTGTGGTTGGCCATGAAATAGTAAATAAATAGATATAATATACCATAAATGAGTATTATGGTTTGAAATGTTTAATTATTTGTTATTTATTCGCTTAACTATTTTCTTTTTTATTTATTTATACTTCTTATTTACAAATTCTACTGGACATTTTGCTCACATTTTAGTGTTTTAAAATTTCCCCCTTCCAGGTTGTGTGGAACTAGCTGAGTTAGAGATATGATTTGGGTTATCGAAAAGTGTTAGTGGCTCTTGGAGATTGCTATAAGCTAACAAAATGTACTAATTGTTTTAGTTTTAGTATTTCTATAATTGTTGTACAAAATCTGTTCTATACGACTAGTCTCGATCTTGTATAAAATTTTGTATTCAAGTCTGTTTTTATTATTTATGGACTTATAAGCCCTCGCGAGGTAGTCATTTTATTATTATTATTTCTGAGTCGATCTTGTTTTATTTTTTTTACGAATTTTAAATATTAAATCTGGATTTATTTTATACTTGATTTTCATTAGTTGCGTCCCTCATTTCTGGGATGTGACATGTGTAATGTGTTACTTACTGGTAAAAAATAATTTACATGGTACAAAATTTTTATTTACGTGGAGAAAAATCTTTTTAGCAATCCTAGAAAGGAAATTTACATGGAAAAAATTCTTTTAACTAGTCAACAATGAAACACTTACGTGGTAAACTATTATTTACTTTAAATAGTTTTAAAATCTACTATCAAAAGCTCTTTTAATTTCAAAAATAATATTTCTACCCCTCTACTTTAAAAAAGTTATATTGTGACCTCTCACTTTTAAAAAAAATTACAATTTGACCTTTTTTAAAAAATAATAATAATAATTAGATCAAAACCTCCTATTTAATAACTCTACTTTTTTCCTCGCCCCCTTTCCTTTTAAATTAATACATAAATATAATACGACAGTAAAGTGAACAAACATGGTATAATGTAATTTAATAATTTTAATATGACACAAACCAAGTACGTAATGTACAATTTTTTTTTTATACAATACAAACACGATACGATATATGTAATACAATACACCAAATGTGCTTAAGAATAAGTAGCTGCTCAATTACCAAACTTGTAGTGAATATTTTTCAACCGTCAAATCTCCAAGTCAATTTTTATTTTGTTTTGATCTTGTTTGAAATTTAACACGGTTATATATGATCTAACAGCTGGTAGAAGTATACATTAACTAGTATGAGGTATTTTGCAATAAACAATATCTTGATCTGGATATACGATATCCGATAAGTATAATATACTGTCTTCATTTCTTTACAACATAATACTAAGAACTAGGAAGGCGAAGATTTTGTACTTCTTAAATGAGAGTTTATTTTCAAATGTGTAAAAGGTATTGCAAGTTGAAGTTTCCACTCAAATGTAAAACCATTTTTATGTTATTGTCTTGCTCTCTTCTACCTTGATATAGTATGAACTAAACTAGGAACTCTCTAATTTTTTATGGAAGTCCTTATTATGAACGTGTTCATACTATAGCAAGTCGAAGATTCAACCCAAATGTAGAACAATTCCATCGAATTAAATTAGTCAATCCAGCTGCCTATAACGGGCAAAATTTTAAGTCCTTGTGTCTCTCTCTCTCTCTCTCTCTCTCTCTCTCTCTCTCTCTCTCTCTCTCTCTTTTCTATAGAAAATAACATTTCTTCTAAAATTCTATTCTTGGTTTAACATCTTAAAATAACAGCTTGGGGAGGAGGGTTGACTTTCAACTAACTTCTAACTGTAATGACTGAGAAAATTCCAGACCTTAAATAATACAATTCATGTATTTTTAAGCCAAGGATTTTCTTAGAAAATATTATGTTATATTGTGAATGGAGGATTTATGGAATTAATATATGTATTCCTAAATTCTATAGCAAATTTCATGTTAAGTTCATGTTTCGATCAAGTAAATTCGATCGATAAATTCTCGCCGTATTTTAAGGCGGAATAATTTTCAGTACAAGTATAGTTTGAGAATCTTAATTTCAAGAATCTCTAAGCACAGCACGATGTTAGCGGCGTATTAAAAAAAAAACGCACTGGCATTTTAAAAGAAGAAAAAAATCCTTAATTGCTAGACAGTTAGGTTAAAGTCACAAGATAAATACCTATAGTAGATGGATACAATATGAGCTCGGGAGTTGACACTGTCAGAAACGTCATTCTTGGGATAGAATACAGAAAATTAAAA